CGGTGCGTTCCGTGCGTGCGTGCGTTGCGTGCGGGTGCTGGCATCGGAGCACTGCTGTGTGACCTGTGTGGCCTCTCTCTCTCTCTCTCTCTCTTCTCTCTCTTCTCTCTCTCTTCTCTCTCTCTCCTCTCTCTGCTTCTCTCTCTGCCTCTCCATCCCGTCTCCCTCCCTCCCTCTCCTCCTCCTCCCTCTCCTCCCTCCTCTCTCCTCCCCTCCCTCTCTCGTCTCTCACCTCTCTCTCTTTCTCTCTCTCCTCTCCTACCTCCCTCCCTCCCTCTCTCTCTCTCTCTCTCTCTCTCTCTCTCTCTCTCTTCTCCCTCTCTCTCAGTCGCTCTCAGCTTCCCGTTCCAGGTTCTACGGTTTAGTAGGTGCGGGGTAGTGGCACCCTTTTTAAGGGTAGTGTCAGGTTGCGTCGATAGATTCCACAATAGATAACACGATAGATAACAAGGAACACAGTATTATAAAGCTACTCTTCGTCGTTCTATTACACCACAGAATATGCACTTTACCAGCCTAAACAAACAACTACGATGCTACACAGAAGTCTCCACACACAGAATACGTGACCGAATATCAGTAACCTCGTACCGTGAGGCATGGATCGCGAAGTACCTCGGCGAAGTGAAGGTGGATCGTGGAAGGTGGAAAGAAGGAGTATAGAAGGAATAGGGTGTAGGAGCTAGGCGAAACTGGACTGTGCTGCGGAAAGGATGAGAGCCGACTCGTTCTCAACCTGCGAGTTTGGCGTCAACAAATCTGGTCCCTATAGATGGGGCAGGTGCCATCACGGCGGAATCACCATTATATGTCATGGAATTATTTATTGTGATTGCGTCCGTGCCGCGAACTAATATGTACTATCTGTGAAGCCGGCGCTTTCCTACACTCTGTATTCATGGTAAGGTTTCCCCTGCAGGAGAAAAGTGCTGCCAGAGCCAACGACGACGGCGATGACGGTGATGATGACGATGGAAAGGCGATGGAGGATAAAGAGCTACTGGATGCAATCAGAGAGGCACAGGAAATCAACAACGGTGTGTAGATTAGACACGAGTGCACGCAGAGCGAGCATATTACCTTGCGGTGTGGTCTCGGGGTAACGTAAAAAATCAGCATGGGTTGTAGTTGTTCTAGTATTATCTGACTGTATATTTTAGTATTCCATATGTATTCTAGTATTCTATACTAACGTTAGTCACCTAGTTGTGGGTTTTGTTAGTCATACGTCATAACTGTTTGCTACGGTTGATAGCTACGTGTAACACAACGATATTCTATCTACCGATGTCTATGAAACCATGTGCATAGGTACGTTATCTAGCTGCATGTGCGTGCTTGCTCGCGTGCGTGCGTGCGTGCATACAAGCATGGAAACGTGAATGTGTGCGTGTGTGTGCAGCATATAACCACCAGTTGTGGTAACACATAGAACTGAAAAAAAAATTTACATTTGTATTTGTTCAGAAAAAAAATTCCTGTTTGTTAATAATATGTGTGTGTGTGTGTATTATTAAATCATTTCCCAGGCAGAATTGAGGATCAATACATCACGAATTTCTTCAGAGATATTTTGCTATCTAAGCAATGCCAGAACCAGGGGTTCATATTAGATGGGTATCCAAAGACGACAGATCAGGCCAAAGTCCTGTTCGCAGGTAAGGCTGTCGTTGATGATTATGTTTATATGAAAGGTAATTATTTTGAAATTCTTTAGTTGAGACGTTATTACAACGTTTAAGTTGCAATAGAAGAGTTTAATTAAGAACTCGTTGTCCTGGATTACTGGTAATGATATTTTCTTCTCGTAAACTATGAATAGATTTCAGGCAAGTCAATTTTCTTCTTCATCATCATTATCTGCTACTGCTGCTGCTTCTGCATCTGCTGCTACTATTGCTGCTGCTGCTGCTGCTGCTGCTGCTGCTGCTACTGCTGCTGCTTCTGCATCTGCTGCTACTATTGCTGCTGCTGCTATTACTGCTGCTGCTGCTGCTGCTATTACTGCTGCTGCTGCTGCTGCTATTACTGCTGCTGCTATTACTGCTGCTGCTGCTGCTGCTGCTGCCATCGTCACTACTACTTCTACTACTATCAATGCTGCTGAGGTCGCGTGCAATGTATATATTGTATATTTCTTGTACTAGTTACGGACGAAGATCGTGAAGACAACCCAGATGGAGATCTAAAGTACAATGCATTGATCATGCCAGGTATGCTTGCGTGAGCTATAGCATTATTCGCGTGCACTCGCGGCTGCATTGTAATTAGACGATCGACATAACCATAAGATTACGGTGTGCTGCTATTGTTTGCCACGAGCGCACAGATGATCTTACACGAGTGAGATCAATTTCATACTCACCCACCCATTCAGCCCACTTACTCACCAACTCCTCTCCTCATCCACCCACTCATCCATTACCTCATCCCGTCATCCACCCACTCACCTATCACCTTGTTCCTGCATCCACCCACGCACCCACCCACTGATCACCTCATCCACTCACTCAGCTACCTCCTCATCCATTCGTCCACCCACTCACACATTCATCAAGCCATCGATTCATCCATTCGTCCGTCTGTCCGTTCGTCCGTCCGTCCGTCCGTCCGTCCGTCCGTCCGTCCGTCTCCGTCTGTCCGTTCGTTCCATCCATCCGCATATTCCATCACATCCATCCATCCATTCATCCATTTCATCCATCAATGCCCATCCATCCTTGCCATCCATCCATCCATCGCGGCCATCCATCCATCACATCCATCGCATCCATCCATCCATCCCATCCTCCTCCATCCATTCATCGCATCCATGCCGATCACATCCATCACATCCATCCATCCATCCAGTCCATCCATCCATCCATGCCATCCATCCATCATCCATCCATCATCCCATCCATCTTCCATCCATCCATGCATCAGCCACCATCCATCCATCCATCCATCCATCCATCCATCCATCTATCCATCCATCCATCCATCCATTCCATCCATCCATCCATCACATTCCATCCATCCATCCTATCCATCCATCCATCATCAATCCGCATCGCATCTTCCATCCATCCATCCATCCATCATCCATCACATCCATCCATCCTCCATCCATCCATCCATCCATCATCAACTCCATCCATGCCTTCCATTCCATCCATGCCATCCAGAGAGACAATGATTAGCCAGATTTGCGTGGCACAGCCTTTGGCTGAGAATCCTTGAGGCTGCGCGCGGATGAGAGCGCGCAGTTCAGGCGGCGATATGCGCAACTGCGACGTGCGCACGGGGATGTTACAAAGTATAGAAGCGCTGCCGCCAGTGGAGAACGTGCGCGCCAATTTCCGAAGGTCCCCGGTCGGCACGTCTCCACAGCGGTCAGCGGATGGTCTGTGGTTTTAGAAGATGACAATGATTATATATTGACGATATTGTAGGAATTGGAGATTATAAAACTCCGTAACAAAAAATTGGTCAGTCATTCTCCGATTAGCTGAATCAAAAAGATTCGAATTTAATATGAACAAAACAAATACAATGGTTATAAACATGCAGAAACAAAGAAAAGAAGAGAATTTAATAGGCAATCGAGTATTAAAAAATGCCACCAAATATTCATACTAGGGATTTAATTAATGATATAGGAGGTTATAACGATATGATAAGAGTCGCGAAGTTAAAATGTAGGTTCATGATGCAGGGAAATATTATGCGTGGCAGAAGAGCAAAATTATGGAAATCATACTATAGAAGCAACAGTAAAATTATACGAATGCACAATTTGACCTTCCTTCCTAAAATAACAGTGAAAGATGGACTAAGCTAACTAAGGAAGAAGTAAAAAATGTTGCGAGGATTTCAAAATGAGTGCCTGCGTAAATAATAATCACGCAGAAAACCTACCGAAGGCATTGAAAGACGATGAAAACTCCAAGGAAAGATACGGACGAAATCAGTAAAAATAACATATAGTTTCTATACGTAAAATTGTGGTAAATCATATAAAAACGCATTATTTTGGAAAAATTCCCATATTTACTTAGAAAACATCCAAGAGATGGCGCTGTGGCATGTAAACATTATCTCGGATTTGCCTCCGAACATTAATTGTGTGTGTTTTATTTGTGTGTTTAATGAATGGCGCACTCGTTCACTTCCGACAGCAAGTAAAATGCAGAACATTTTCCTGTTCGGATTCGAATTACATCGGCCGGGCATTTCATTATTTACAAAAAGAAAACAGGCTGGGAAAGGAACGGTCACGTCCGGTGACGCCCCATTCATGCCAATCAACGAAGAAGGCGGAGCTTATTGTGTTTACGGAGATGCGAAAATGAAAGAAAAGAACTTAGCACTGTGCGCAAAACAGCGTGTTATTTTCGTTTTTGTGCCAAACTCTATCGTAGGAAACCGTTCTAGCCTAGCAGAATGCCCTAGTTCGTGAGATCGGCGATTCCGTGCCGTAATAGTAATTGTAGCAAAATTTAGTGTAGAAGGGGGCGGCGTAGACTGTGATTGGAAGACACAAAGTGTCAATCCTCGGCTAGCGCCTCGGGATCATGGCCCGCGTTACGTCCGAGCCATCCATCCATCCATGCTCTTGCATCCATCCATCCATCCATCCATCCATCCATCTATCCATCCATCTATCCATCCATCCATTCATCCATCTATCCATCCATTCATCCATCCATCCATGCATCCATCTATCCATCCATCCATCTATCCATCCATCCATCTATTCATCCAGCACCACACACAGTACAGTACTGCATGACACCCTCTTTCTCTCATGCTCACACACAGAGGTCGTCGTTCACCTGGAGGCGCCGGACACCTTCCTCAAGGAGCGGGTCATCAACCTTCCCGAGGCGGTCGTGCATGGCACACACAATTCTGAGGCGGGGTTTACGCGCCGTCTCGACGAGTACTCGCTGATAAACACTGAGGACGAGACCGTACTCAACTACTTTGATGAGCTGGAGATCCATCCGGAGCGAATAAGTAAGCGCATGTGCGAGAGAGAGAGGGTGGGAGAGAGGAAGAGAGAGAGAGGGAGAGAGAGATGGGGGAGGGGAGAGAGAGAGAGAGAGAGAGATAAAGAGAGGGAGACGGCGGAGAGAGATAAAGAGAGGGAGAGGGAGAGAGAGAGAGACCAGCGCACGTAGCTAGATGAGACGATAGCGGGCGTAATGTAACAGGCTCACTGCTGTGGAGACAACAAGACAATGTCGTTATCAGCTTACACGAAGCGCTCGATTTTAGAGCAGCTATGGTGGCGGTTATCGCAAACTACTCGGCTGATCAGCTACACAATGTCATACATCGTCATCGTGTCTGCGTGGGAGGGCCGACAGCTGCCCCCTCTAGTGGGGATAGAATGAAACTAATAAGCTTAATAAATGTTAATAAGCTTAATAAAATATACGAACGTGATTACAAATTCTTATCGTACTAGTTTCTTGTCAAGGTCAGTGAGGGGCAAGCTAAAGGTCAGTGAGGGGCAAGCTAAAGATCAGTGAGGGGCAAGCTAAAGATCAGTGAGGGCCTGAGGGGCAGGCTAAAGGTCAGTGAGGGGCAAGCTAAAGGTCAATGAGGGGCAAGCTAAAAGCCTCTGTCCCATTACTGAAGCCCTTACGAATCCTCAATCAGTGGTCACATTCGTTACGGCTGCCGTCGCTCTCCTATCTCTACGCCTCAACGATTCGAGAGCGCAGAGTAATCCGCGAAGGGAAGCCGATGGGCGAGAGAGAGAGGATCGTTATGACGTCGCCTGCAGAGCACCGTCTCCCCCCTCAGCGCACATGTCGCACCGCCGCCCTGTGTGTTAGCGTGTGTAGCGAGTTCTACCTGAGACATACCTCCTAACTACGCACGCTCGTTACGAAAAGGTCTGGCTTCGAGGAAAAACTAGTGCGCCGTGTGTGTTTCGTAGAGCGTGCGTGGCTTGTTATCGAGTGGTTAGCGTGCGGTGGGATCATATGTGGTATGCTGACGCTGGTGTTCGCATGCGGAATAAACGTTTTAAAAATGGCTTCATATCGATGCAAAATTAATTTTAAGTAACTTTCAGGTATTTATGTGTATGTATGTATGTGCACATATATATATATATATATATACACACATATGTATACGTCCTACAGTATTTCAGAAGCAGATTATTTCTGTTTGCAGATATCGCGACCGACGACAGCCCAGAAATGAAACAAACCGTCGAGCAGATAGTGGAGATAATTGGCGCGCCGCGCAACTACGGTAAGTCCCCTCACCCCCCGCCCCCGCCGCAGTGCACCGGTGGTGCCCCCCCCCTTAATCCGCGGCAATGGAGCACGCGGTGACGACGCACTAACTAGGTTATGTCGTTTTAAGTGACTGACCGGCGGCCGTCCGGACGCATGCGGTCCGTCGATGTCCATTATGGATGACCACCGACTCGCTCTGTTAGCGGCGGCGGCGGCGGCACATCTCGGTTTCGGTTTCCGTGGCGACTGACCGTGAAGCCGTTCTCTTGTTTCTCCCGACACTGTGCGCCGTGACACACAGCACGTGTCGAGGTCACCTGTGATTGATACTCGGCGACGGATTCCGCACGTCTGTCGCGAGATATCTGCTTACTCGCGTGCGCGCCTCTTTTGTTGCCACCGATTGCATGCGTGCTATGAAAGGCGCAGCAGCGTGTAATGGCATCGCGCGGTGTGAGAGCGTCAGGCTGCACGATTGTCGTGAGTAGTCACGCTCGTGTGCGTTAGGGTGTCGGTAACAGTCACGTAGCGGTGTTTGCCGAAGTAGCGGTGTTCGCCGAAGAAGCGGCGTTTGGTGAAGTAGCGGTGTTCGTCGAAGAAGCGGCGTTTGCCGAAGTAGCAGTGTTCGCCGAAGAAGTGGTGTTTGCCGAAGTAGCGGTGTTTGTCGAAGTAGCGGTGTTTGCTGAAGTAGCGGTGTTTGTCAAAGTAGCGATGTTTGGTGAAGTAACAGTGTTCACTGAAGTAATGGTGTTTACTGAAGTGGTTCTGCCCATCTTGCAGTCCTCCCCAAACACATTAATACTATGCGAGGATGCATGTGTCTGCTACTGGTCTCCGAAGCAGAAATTAGTGTATGGTAATAAAATATGGTGGCATCTGCCGTTCGTTCTTGAATGTTTATAAGATTTGAGTACGATTCGTCTGTAGCAGATATCGCAACGTTTAGCTGCTAATATTTGATGATTGTATTGTGAAGTTGGATACCTTAAAATGTTGTATATATGAAAGTTGGATAGGTGGGTGGGTGTGGGCGGGTGTGTGCGTGAGTGGGTGTTCGTACACTCAATTTGTAATAAGAGTATCCAGATAACATATGACTGCTTGCTATTCGCAGCATGGTTCCTCGCTCTGGCTACATCATCACAAAAACAGTGCTCTCTCTCTCTCTCTCTCTCTCTATATATATATATATATATATATATATATATATATACATATTAGCCCGTACGCGGGGACGACGGCAAATAGACATATTAAATTTCACAGCCTCGTATTGCTGACAAACCAGATATTCAACAACGTTAATGCAACGACGTTGTCATTACGTCGTAATAAAACGATTAATTTCCGTCGTGCCGTCGCGCGCTGAGAGTACCTGGCAAGCATATATATTACACTGGCGCGTACTCGAGCAACAATTACGATGTTTACCGTCAGTCAAGGCCGGCTGGCGACATTTTTCGCTGACATATGCCGGCGTGGACACGTCCGCCGCTGCTCGTAGCGGATCGTAAAGGAAATTCATTATCATGATAATTAGAGAGAAGTTACGCATGCGGCGTCGAACCACGAGCGACGTTATTGAATCACTTCCCATTATTCGGCGCTGCTCTCCCAGCTACCTCTTTCGTTTCCAGCTTCTGTTGTTCTCAATGCACGAGACTGCCGTTATGAGATGCATTCATCGCAGTACCTCGAGTGCCTTGGCATTTCGGGGTTTTATAGATGGGTGGGAAGTCGAAAAACATATAAATGTGCGTGCGTGCGTGCGTGCGTGCGTGCGTGCGTGTGTGTGCGCGCGCGTGTGCGTGCGTGTGTGTGTGTGCGTGCGTGCGTGTGTGTGCCTCTTCCTACACTAACACCAGCACTAGCCTCAACCCTTGCCGTCAACACTCGCGCGCAGAAGGCACGTGCTAGCTGTGCACCCACGATTCACGCGCGACACGGACTCTCCCCTAATTCTCCGCACACTCTCTGCGTCTGCTGCCGGTAATAGAACTCACCGGTCGTTGTCATCCCGGCATTAATTCCTTCCCTGTCCCCTCAGGACCGAGCGAGGAGGAGCTGGAGGAGGCACGCCGGCTCGCAGTGGAGAAGAAGCTGCGCGAGCAGGAGGAGGCGAGGATGAAGAGACAGCAGGAGGAAGCGACGGAGACAGCAGAACGCGCGGCCAGCGAGGCCGAGTGGGTCAGTACGGGGCATCGGTCACTACGGGGGGGGGGGGTAACGCTCACTATACGTATTGCGTTTAGTGTTCGCACGCACACGCACGATCTCTCGATCATTCGTTCTCTCTCTCTTTTTCTCTCATTCGTTCTCTCTCTCTCTTTTTCTCTAATTCGTTCTCTCTCTCTCTTTTTCTCTCATTCGTTCTCTCTCTCTCTTTTTCTCTCATTCGTTCTCTCTCTCTCTCTTTTTCTCTCATTCGTTCTCTCTCTCTCTTTTTCTCTCATTCGTTCTCTCTCTCTCTTTTTCTCTCATTCGTCTCTATCACTCATTACAACGTCGATAAAGTGTATCTCTGTCTCCTCCTCCTCATTCTCCATCTCTACTTCTTCTTCTTCCTCTTCCTCCCCCGTCTCCACCTCCTGCGCCTCTTCCTCCTCCTCCTCCGTCTGTCCTCATCCTTATCCTCGTCCTCCTCCTCCGTCTCCCCCTCCTCTTCCCCGTCTCCTTCTCCGCCTCCTCCTCCTGCGCCTTCTTCTCCTCCTCCTCCATCCTCCCTCCCCACTCTCCTCTACGTCCTACCCTTTCTTCCTTTGACCGTAGGTAGACACACACACGCACACGCACACACACACACACACACACACACACACACACACACACACACACACACACACACACACACACACACACACACAC